CAAAGTGTTCAAGTACGAGGTAATATTATTATTATTTTTTTTTTAATCGATTGCGAAAAAAAATGACGGAATTTTCTTCGTATAAAAAATAAGGGGCGGGGGTGAGGAGAATTTTAATTAATTTTCACGCACAATTTCTTTGAAAAAGGCATGTCTATATAAAAAAAAAAATTCTGTTTATGGATAAAATGATTATGTGATCAACTATGTTATGCGAGCGGATGTATAACGACATGTACATCCGGCGCTATAGGTTCACGCTCTCTCACAGCTCATTATCGGTTAATTGGTGATTAATAATGAATCTCACACTCTCACACCACCTTTCGACTATTCCAATTTACGAGCAGTGACTTTTTAATAATTTCACATCGATGAATGTCAAATCAAATTATAAATATATATATATATATATTATTCTATTGTAATTTCGTAATTTAAATTGGAAAATTTTTCGAATCACATGATTGCTACTGAAAATAGTAGCAAAAAAAATCTAATTTTTTTTTTTTTTTTTAATCAAAATCTATTTTTAATTTCATTTTATTTTTTATTTATATATAAATTTAGAAAATTGGTAGAAATTAGTAATTATTTCAAAAAAATATTTAAATTTCCAAAATTAAATATTGCTGTTAAAATTTTTTTTGAATAAAAAAAATGGCAAAACTTTTAAAACAGTATTTAGATACAAAATTTTTTTTTTGTCAGAACAAAAAATAAATAAATGCAAAACGAAGCTTAATTAGTCAGTTGAAATTAATTATTATTTTGAAAGTTTTCCTCATTGAAGAGGTTGAAGTTTTATTATAGTCTTTTAATGAAATTAAATTTCCACAAGTTTTTAGGTGAAATTCTCATAAAATGAAAAGCATCGACTTTTCTATGTGAATGTATATGTGTGAGCGAAAACTAACGTAAAATTAGTTTTGTGGTGCGTGATTCATTAGAGAAATCGTTCTTCAAGGGACATTGGATCAGGACTGGCGATAGGACCTGACACCGCAGAGACCATGGTTGGCAGTAACATTGCGGGAACTTGATAAAGTACACTTGAAGCGTACTTGACGCAACTGCACTGAATATGCAAGCTCACCGGATGCCGGCTGTCGACACGATGTATTACTGCGGATCTTATCCCTGAATGCTGTCATCCATACTGAAACTATTTGAATTTCAAAACACCTATATTTTTTCCCTCCTAACTCGACAACTTTTCTGCAAAAAAAAAAAAAAAAAATAAATAAAAAGAAAAGGAAACTAAAATTTGTTCACCGACACGAAAAGTTTTCTACAAAAAAAAAAAGGAAAAAAGTTTTGAAAAATTTTATTAACAACTTTATATATTTTCGCCGACTCGTATTTTTTCTATCTCTAATATTTAAAGAGTTTTTTTTACTCTTATTTTTGCTAAAATTTTTAATTTCTTTTGACTTTTTAATCTGCTTTCAGAGAGAAAAAAAGAGGGATTTTTACTGGAAAAATAAATTTTTAATAAAGATGACCGACTTGAACACCTTGACACTCATTATCGTCTTTTAGAATGAAAAAACAAAAAAAAGTAATTCTGCAAACGTTGCCAATTTGCTTGAAAGGAAAGAGCAGAATTTTTTTTTTTTTCTAATTGAAACTTTATGAAAGGAAAATCAGGAATATGATTTTTTTTAAAAAAAAATTTAATTCAAATTTTTACAATAATTTTGATTCAAAATATTTGCAATAGAAAAAATATATTGATGTTTCAAATTGAGAAGGAAAAAAAAGATTTAATATTAAATCCAATTAAATTTAGAAACTCAGATCTCGGATTGATTTTAATTTCCAAAAAAATAGTATTTACAGAATATTTAAAAATATATTCCACTATTTTGTAAATTTTTTATTATTTTTATTTTTAATAATAATAATAATAATAATAATAATAATAATAAAAATTTAAGAAAGAGTTAAAATTCGTTTGAAAAATTCCGATCCAAATATAATATATATAATTAAAATTATACTCTACAAAAGTCGAAATAAGTTACGTTAAAAAAAAAAAAACTCCGAGGCCTTTAACAAAAATATTTGAAAATAAATAATGAATTGAAAGAAATTTTTTTAATAAACAGAAAAATTCTATTTTATTAAGAAAAAAAAAAAAAAATGATCAGAAATCATTTGAAGAATTTTATTTACTCGAATGAAAAATGTTGTTCAATAATAATTATAATCGTTTGAATCAAAAGAGAGAAATAAAGGATTAAATATATCAAAGTGAAATTCATTAGAGAATAAGTAATGGAACCATTTGAAAATGAGAGAGAGAGGAGAGATAAGAAGGTAAGTGGAAATTCTGCTCTCTCCTTATGGAAAAGATTATTATTTGCGAGAGGCGAAATTCTTGTTCCAGGATGACGATAGACAAGTACACTATACATATGTACTGTAATATGAATTTTCCCAATAAGTCCAACCGACCGTTATAAGGATATGAACTTATTCGCGCGAAACTTGCTTGCTTCCTTCTCTGTGTGTGTGTGTGTGTTGAAATCAAGTCACGCGCTCGCTCTAGGCTTTCAAGGGAAGCTCTCAAAAACCTTTTGTGTGAGCTTTTGAAGATGATGCGTGACATAACAAGACTACCCGCGCTCGAATTGGAACTACACACACATACACACAGAATTTTATATGAATTTACGAGATACCTTCACTTCCTACGTGTGTTGTATTCTCAATTTTTTATCATCATCGTGATGCGATTTCGAATCTTTGCAATTTTTAAAAGAGGATTAACATCATTTTTTTCGGGACGTATTAATAAGTTCTAAAAATTAGTAGTTTGAATTTTTATTTTATAGAATTACATTTAATAGAATTTCTTTTTTTGAGCAAAATTTTCATTTCGAATTATTATTTTGCAGAATTTTTTTATTAAAATGATTTTTTATATTAAAGAATTTTTATGTAACTGAAAATTCACTTTAAAGATTATATTACAATGGATGACATGCTTTAAAGGCGAAAAAATACTAATTTAGGAAAATAAATGTACATTTATTACGGAATGACCCCAAAAAAATCCAAAAAAACAGTTATAACTTTCAAACAAATTACCGCATCGTTGTGAAATTTGGTAATTATGTTTTTTGTAATGAATAACACCCTTTAAAGGAAAAAAATTAAAAATTTATAAAAAAAAAGCGCATAATTATTATGGAATGTCCCCCCAAAAAAATCCAAAAAACGGTTATAACTTCTAAAGAAATTAACGGATCCTTATGAAATTTAGTAATTATATTCTATGCGATAAATGACATTTTTTTAATGCAGAAAGATACAAAATTAAGAAAAAGCAAATTTATTATGGAATGACCCAAAAAAAAATCCAAAAAACAGTTATAACTTTCAAAAAAATTTTCAGATCATTGTGAAATTTTGTAATTATGTTCTTTGGAATAAATAACGTCTTTCAATGCCAATAAAAAAAAATTTTAGAAGAAAAGCGTATAATTATTATGGAATGCCCCCCAAAAAAATCCAAAAAAACTGTTAGATCTTCTAAAAAAAATTAACGTATCCTTATATAACTTGGTAATTACGTTCTTTGCGATAAATGAAATTATTTTATTGCAAAAAAATACAAATATAGGGAAAAAAACATATATTTATTATGGAATGTCCAAAAAAAAATCCAAAAAACAACTATAACTTCTAAAGAAATTGACAGATCCTTATGAAACTTGGTAATTATGTTCTTTGCGATAAATGACATTCTGTTATTAGAGAAAAATACAAATTTAGAAAACTGAATGTACATTTATTATGGAATGACCCCAAAAAAATTCAAAAAACAGTTATAACTTTCAAAAAACTTACTGGATTTTTATACAACCTGGTAATTATGTTCTTTGCGTTAAATTACATTCTTTTTTTTTTGCAGAATGATACAAAGTTAGAAAAAAAGAAGTATATTTATTACGGAAGGACCCAAAAAAAAATTTTTCTAACTCTTACAAAAAAAGTTACAGGATCGTTATGAAACTTGGTAATTATTTTGCAGAATTTCTATCAAATAATTACCAAGTTTTATAACAATACGGTAACTTTTTTTTTGAAAGTTCTAACTGTTTTTTGGATTTTTTTTTGGGACGATCCATATTAATTATGTGCTTTTTTTCCTAAATTTTTTATTTTTTGCCTTTAAATGGTGTCATTTATTACAAAGAACATAATTACCAAGTTTCATAAAGATCTGTTAATTTCTTTAGAAGTTATAAAGGTTTTTTGGATTTTTTTGGGGACCTCCATAATAAATATATGTTTTTTTCCCCTAAATTTGTATTTTTTTGCAATAAAATAATTTCATTTATCGCAAAGAACGTAATTACCAAGTTATTTAAGGATACGTTAATTTTTTTTAGAAGTTCTAACAGTTTTTTTGGATTTTTTTGGGGGGACATTCCATGATAATTATACGCTTTTTTTTCTAAATTTTTAATTTTTTTCCTTTAAAGGGTGTTATTTATTACAAAGAACATAATTACCAAATTTCACAACGATCCGGTAATTTGTTTGAAAGTTATAACTGTTTTTTGGATTTTTTTGGGGTCATTCCGTAATAAATGTACATTTATTTTTCTAAATTAGTATTTTTTCGGTTTTCAAGGATGTCATTCATTGTAATGTAATCTGTCAATTGAATTTTCGGTTACATTAAAATTCTACGAATATCAAAAATTGGTTTAATGGAAATTCTATCTAATAAAATTCTATAAAATGAAAATTCTAACTGATTTTTAGAACTTACTCATGCGTTTCCTTTTATCGCGAATGCAATAATAAGAAGAAAAAAAATTGATTCTTTCTTTTTGCAAATCACACTTCATCCTGGAACAAGAGAATCCCTCTATTATACCAACGGGATTATGTATAAAATAATCTCTGTAAATTGAACATTTTTTTTTTTTTTTTTTTTTGTTTGAATGGGAAATGTTGAATTTTGGTCGTCATAAGCTCACCTTACTGCCTCTCTCGTTAAATATGATTTCTACGTCCAGAATCGCACCAAATTGCTGAAACATAGAAAAAGAGATTTTAATTATAAAGTCCTTGCGTTTAACTAGGTTTTGTTGCATTATAAAAGCGACTTTTTTTTTCTCTCTCTCTCCAAGTTTTGCGAGAGCAAAGTAGAAGAAGTTTTGTAATCAAGCGCGAGAGAAGAGAGAGAAAGAGGGAGAGAGAGAGCTATTAAGTTAGCAATGAAGTTCCGGCACTGACCCATTGCATAGCGCGCGCAGTGAAAATAAAATAAACAAACCCCCGAGATCGAATTCAATTATACTTGAATGCAATCTGATTGCAGAGTAAGAGCTTTTTCACGTCACCTCATTAAATCTCCACTACTCTCTCTCTCTCTCTTTCTCTCTCTCCACTCTCTGTGTTTTTCCTTAATTCTCATTTATGTGACAAATAATAAATTGACGAGCTTTCATTACGTATATATATGCAATATGGTTTTTGTTTCTCAAAATTATGAAAACAGAAATTAAATACATACAATAATGAATATCAAGGTAAAATCAAGGATTCGAGGATGAAACAAGAGAGAGAAAAAAATTAAAATCTGTTTTTGAAATAAAATAATGAAAATAAAATAGTTTTATGAAATTGTAATTTTCAAAGTTTTAATTAATATAAAGAAAAACTTTTTAATTATACCCTTATATATTTCAGTGGAATAAAAATTTAAAAAAAATGATTTAATTAAGCTCCAGTATTTTATAAACACAATTTTTTTTCCTATACAAAACGATTTTAAAATTTTTTGAAGCAATAACCAAAACTTATTGTTAAATTAAAAAAAAAAATTCAGATTGTAAGAAAATTATTATAAAAAATAATGAAAATTAGGATGATTACAATTTGTTAAATAAATGAAAAATTATTTTACTGAAATTTAATAAAAAAAAAAAAAAAATTTTTATCTCCCCTAGAATGTTAATCAACATTAATAATAAATTCCGTCAGTATTTGCGCGCCATTATCTTCACTATGGCTTTATCGATAAACCCTGAGAATTATTAAACCAAAAACGTTATAACGCAAGAAATCCTATCCATTTTGAAATCACGACAATGTGGTTTTTGTGCAGTATTGTCGCATAGATCACACGATTAATGCTAACGATGTAAACCAACCCACAATCTCTATACCATAAATTTTTGATCTGCTATCTCTCTTCAAAAAATGATATTATCAAATTACTGTAGAAAATTTCTATTATTATTATTATTATACGAATAATTTTATTTGAACATTTATCATTGTTTAATTACATAAACTAAATTCTATTGATTTAAATATTGTACAAAAATACAAATTACATTTTTATAAGTACATATTACAATAATTTTTTTGTTTTTTTTTCCAACGTTTCTCGATCAATAAAAAAAAATATTTTTATTTTATTATTTACCGCGTTAAAAAAGTATTTTTTATTTTTAATCGTTTACCATAAACATTGTAAACTTTACAGATTTGAAATTTATTTTGTAGAATATTATTTTTGCAGAATAGTAATTTAAAAGTATCTTAATTTTGCAGAAAATGAATTATACAGAATTTTTATTTTACGGATATTTTCATTCGTTTGATTTTTCATTGTACAGAATTTATATTTAATTGATTATTATCAAAGTTGCAGAATTTTTATTTAGACGAAAATTAATTCCCCAGAAATTAATTAGAAAGAATATTAATTTAATAGAATATTCATCTGTTCGAATATATTGATTTTACAGAAAATGCAAAATGTTCGAAAATTAATTTAACAGTATTATTTTGGTCCAATTTTTAAATTTCACCTATCAGAAATTATAACGAATATTATTATTGGTCAATTTTAAATCTAACCTCAAAATAGTTCCGTCAAATAGAGATTCGTTCGAATTTAATTTTTGGCCAATTTATTTTCAGGCCACATGAATTTCCCATTAAAAATCATTAACTAAAATTTTTATTTTAAAATATTTTTATTAGAAATAATTAATTCTTTAAACGAATTTTCATTTTTCAAATTAGCATTTGACAGAAATTCTTTTTTCATAACAAATTTTTAGCTACCGAATTTTTTAATGTCAGAATTTTTATTTTTATAGTCATTTAATTTACATATGACTTTTTATTTAAGAGAATTTTAATTTAATCGAATTTTAATTTCACTGAATTCTCATTCAATCGAATTTTATGTGATTCAAATTTTTAATTGACAGAAATTCCAAAATCCACTGAATTTTAATTTGTCCAAATTTTTATTTGCACGAATATTTAATTGATAGAATTTTAAAGAAGCCGAATTTAATTAATAATAATGGCCAAACAAACAATCGACAGAAAGATTTCGGCGCAATTTTTAAAAATGACCAATCACGATTTTTTTTTGATAAGTTTTAATTGGTCAATTTTCAAAAAAATGTGTCGAAATTTTTCTGTCGATTGTTTGTTGGGCCAAATTGTAATTTTGGACAAATGAAAATTCGGAGTCTTAAAAATTCTAATAATTAAAAATTTGGACAAATAAAAATGCGGACAAATTAAAATTCGGTAAATTAGAATTTCAGTAAATTTAAAAATTCGAATCACTTAAAATTTTATTGAAGGAGAATTCTGTTAAATTAAAATTCAATTTAAACTAAAATTCTCTTAAATAAAAAAGGAACGCATGATTATGTTCTAAAAATCATTATTAGTTAGAATTTTCATTTTATGGAATTTCATTTGTCATAATTATTTTTGAGCCGAATTTTCATTTGTTTGAATTAATATATTGCAGAATTTTTATCAAAACGATTTTCTGTATTACACAATTTTTTATAACCGAAAATTCACTTCATAGAATTTTTAATGATTCGAATTTTTATTTGTCAGAATTTTTATTTGCTCGAATTTTTATTTAACATAATAGGCATTTTAAAGAATTTTTATTGGCTAGAATTTCATTGCATAGAATTTTCATTTTATTCTTTCGGATGAATTTTCATTTGTTCCAATTATTATTTAATATAATTTCCATAAAACCGATTTTTCTGCAAAATTTTTTCTTAACCGAAAAATCATTTAACAGAATTTGTAATTGATAGAATTTTCATTTGTCCGAAATTGCAAATGACCGAACAAACAATAGATTTTGGCGCGATTTTTAAAATCAACAAATGAAAAATTATGCATAAAATTGTGATTGGTTGATTTTAAAAATAGTGCTTAAATCGATTGTTGTTTCGGCCATTTGCAATTTCGAACAAATGAAAAATCTATCAATTAGAAATTCTGTTAAATGATTTTTCGGTTAAGTAAAAATTTTGCAGAAAAATCGGTTATATGGAAATTCAATTAAATAATAATTCGAACAAATGAAAATTCATCTGAAAGAATAAAATGAAAATTCTATGTAATGAAATTCTATCCAATAAAAATTCTTTAAAATGCCTATTATGTTAAATGAAAATTCGAACAAATAAAAATTCTGTGAAGTGAATTTTCGGTTATATAAAAATTCTGTAATATAGAAAATCGGTTTGATGAAAATTCTCCAAAATACTAATTCGAGAAAATAAAAAATTCGGCTCAAAAATAATTATGACAAATGAAATTCCATAAAATGAAAATTCTAACTAATGATTTTTTTATAGAACATATAATCATGCGTCCTTAATTTTCATGTAAATCAAAATTCGGCAACATTGATTACCGGTTAAATGAGAACTCTGTAAAATGAAAACTCAAATAAATATTCTGTAAAATTAAAATTAAATTAAAAAAAAAAAATTTTAATCAGCTTTTATGCATCTCAAAATGAAAACATTTTCATAAATCAACTTACTCCAAACATTGCCCTAAGATCGGGATCTCGAAAGCGGAAAGGTATGTTGCTGACGTGAAGACGTTTTGGTTGTCCCTTGAGGTCTGTTCCTTGTGTTGCTGTTGCCGGCGTCGTTGCACCGGAAGTTACAGGTACCAAGCTTCCAGCATCACCAGCATCCGGACTTGCATCGTTGCCTCCTGGTGTTGGTGCTGGTTGTTGTGCTCCACCTCCTGCAGCTGCGGCCGCAGCAGCTGCTACCGCTGCCTGAAATACATCCGTCTTTTTGACGAAAAAAAAAAAAATCACAATTTATTAATAAGTCACCACAAGTAAATTATTAAGTGTTTCATAACAAAATTCAATTTAATTTATATACAACTTATCTATATTACCCTTATTTTTGCATTTATTTTTTATTTCACAATAATAAATTTTTTTTTAATGAAAACCTTTTGTTTATTTTTACTATTCTCGTATCGTAAAATTTTGACAATAAATTAAAAAAGAAAAAAAAATATTCAAATTTACAGTTCATAAAATTTTTTTTATGAATATCCAATAAATTATTTGTCAATTCCATATATATATATATATATATGTGGAAAATTTTGATAGAAGTTTATGATAACTTTTTCTCATTGTTTACTTTTTTATTTTTATATTTATAAGTTATAATATCACTGAAAATTTGAACAAACAGTAAAATCGCAATTTTTTATATGTAGCGCTCCAGGAGAAAAAATGAACTTTATGGTAAAGAAATTTTAGGTTATGTTTATTGATAGTTTTACGTAAAAAGTTGCTAATTAATCACAAACATAACCTAAAATATTTTTTTTTACCATATGCTCGTATCAAAAATATTCGTTTTTAATCTATGTTTTTGACATACCTATGATTTTTAAAGTTATGTTCATTTTTACCTATTTTTTAAATTATAATTATTTATTTTTGAGGTTATGTTGAACTTTAGGGTTATATTCCTGTTTCTGCAACTAATATAAGCCAAAAGTTCTCAACGTTCAAATGAATGAAATATTTTTTTCAATCTATATAAATTATTAGAAAATAATAATGACAATATAAAATAAAACAATAAATTAAACAATTATTAAATTAATAACTTCTTTTTAGATAATTAAAATAAATATTTTCTAATAAAATTAGTACTTAAAGAAGTTGCAAAAAACATTTCGTTTATTTGAACGTTCAAAACTTTTGTCTTATCAACTAATAGTGATACAATTTATTTTATTTAGCAAATTTTTGTCAATAAATTGAATTTTTTTTTTTTTAACGGTAGATTTTAAGAATTTTGCCCTATACATATATTTTCGACTTTTTCTCCTCGCCTTTTTTATTTTGATTGTAAGGAAGAAAAACTAGCTTTAGGGGAAAAAATACATTGGAGTGGAAAAAAAGAAATATGTGAAAAATGCACGAGTTCACAGCTTCAAGTTTACGACTTTTTTTTTAAAAAAAAAGAGGTATAAGTATAACGGTAGATGTATATACATATATATATATACAGTAGAGTATATATGTAGTACAGATATATAAAGAGAGAACTGAAGTTAAGTCGCAGTGAATAAAGCGCGCTTTAACAATGTTCTGACTTCCTAGTAACTTATACACTAACCCAAGTGATTCAGATAAACGAATGGTCAGCCCAAGGTATATTTCAGGTATTCAATTCTATATTATAAACGTTAAAATATTTTCAAATTTTCACCAAAGTTACAAATTTGGAAATTCAATTTTCTACTAAATATAAATAAATAATATTTATAATTATACTATTAATTAAATAATTAAGTTTGGTAGAAATTAGTTGTTTTTTTTTCAAAAATATTTACCCTGAACAGCAAAAGGTTTCACTAAAATATAGAAAAAGTTTTTAATTATTTCAGTTAAAACTATTTCACTATTCTAATAAAATCTTTCGCTTTTTAAGATAAATTTTTTTTTTCGTGCCTAATTTTAAAATATATTTTGCACCTTTTGCCTTTTATGGCCATATGCGTCAAAAAAGACGGAATTTATTTTAAGAACGCCAAATCGATAAATACAATGAGAATTCACAAAGTGTCTCCAATCGCAGAGAGTTAAGATATAAAATCAAAACGTTTGCCTCTGCACAAAAGTTAATTCACAATTTTTTCATTTTTTTTGATTTATATATATATATATTATATTCTTTCGTTTATATAAATCAACCATGCAATTTTTAATTAAATTTCATTTTGAGGCAAAAAACTATTTCAATTAGAAAAGACGTAGCCTTAAATGAACGAGACTGATTTATTCTTGCGGTTTCCTATATAGGTATATATACATATATATATATCCGCGAGTAAACTTATGAATGTCGAAACCAATACAAAAGTTCTCAACCTTTTCAAAACTTCTCAACAGTCAAAGTTTCAAACTTAATAGGCTATATAGCGCGTTGGAAACGCGAAGATTCTATAGAAAGGATTTTCAAGATCTATATAGTATATATATATATATATATATATATATATATATATATATATATATATATATATATATATATATAACTTTTCTTTTCTCATAAATAACCATTTTCTACACGAAGAAAAATAGCATGAAAAAACAGTATATAAATATACTAAAATTACTTTATATATAAATTTATATTTATAATAGTAAAAAAGAATTCTTTATATATGGGTCATTCTTTCTTAAACGTCACAGTAAAAAAAAATGATAATATTTATTGAATTCTCTAAAAAATTTTGGTAAATTGACCCACATATATCTACCTACATTAGTATTAAACCGAACATAACCTCAAAATTCAAGGTCCTAGGTCTCCAGGATTCAAAGGTCATAAATCAAACATAACCTCAAAATTCAAGGATATATGTTAAGCGACCATTAATTGGTTTCAAGACAATGTCCGACAAACATAATATGTAGGTCAACACAGGTGTTTGGAATGAAAAAAAAGTTTGCCTACGATGCCAAGAAAAATCATTGTTACCCGATGGTTCCTTAGCACTCCCTGAAACGACAAAACTTAACCCAAAAATCGTAGCTGTTCATTTAGAGAAGTTTCACCTTTTTCTAGGGGTGATTTTGAAATTATTCCTAAAAAATTATTTTTTAAGGGTCAGAAATAAGTTTTAAATTATGTTAATGATTTTTATTTATGTCAATGTAGGACCTCATTTTCTAGATACAAGTCATTAAAAAATTTTTTATTAAAAAAACTAGAATTCGTAACTTTTATTTTATATAGGTGACGATTTTGGATATTTTTTGGAAAGTTAAAAATGTGTAGTTTCAATACAAAAAATATTGAGATGTCCTTTTTTTGTTATTTTCGAGATATTAATTAATGAATTATTTAATGTTAATAAGAAATGCAATATTTTATAAACAAATAATGTTACCGTAATTTAGAGTTATCAATTGCAAGCTGACGTAATTCTGCATTCAACGAGAATAATATGAACTATTTTGAATTAGAGAGAATTGCAATGTTATGCGATTATTTATTAACAATCCACAAACCCAAAATTCTTCATATTGGGCTCCTTGGATGCGGAATTACGGTAGCTTTCAATTGGTAACGACAGAATTACGATAACTTTTTTTGTATATAAAATATTTTATCTTTTGTTAACGTTAAATAATTAAATAATTAATATCTAGAAAATAACGAACAAGGACATCTCAATATTTTTTGTAATAAAAATACACATTTTTGACTTCACAAAAAATCAAAATTTACTGTTTAAATTTTTCAAAAAATCCAACTCCTTCCCCCTCCTACAGACATCGTCACCTACATAAAAGTTACGAATTCGAGTTCTTTTTTATTAACAATTTTTTTAATCACTTGTACCTAGAAAATGAGATCCTTCAAACACACCCACATAAATAAAAATCATTAAAAACATAATTTAAAACTTACCCGAGGCGAAATTTAAGCCCTAATTTACAAGGAGTAAAGTAGGGTTAAACAGACCCTCTTTAGCTTCCTCAACTAGTCGCAAATTTACCTTTCTTCCACGTTTGGATTTAAAGTAGGGTCTAAAAATTGATTAAAATATTGAAAATTTTGAAATTGCTCTAATTCTATTAATTTTTTGAAAACGCTTCAAAATATGTCAATTCCAGTTTTTAATGATAGAACGTCCAAGCGCCCATCCTGCTGGAAGGGTCTTCCGGCAGGACGCTTGGACAAGCCGCTGCGTACTGCCGGCAGGATGCTTCTCCGCACATTGCGCCATCCTGCCGGCAGGATGTTCCGTCATCCTGCCGGCAGGACGCACTTTATTTAAAACATATATTTCCATTAAATTTTCTTAAATTACCACATAAAATTTTATATATTATAAATTACCTTAAAAATTTCATAAATTACCATAAATTACCCTATAAATTTCCAAAATTAGTTTTCAAATTTGTCTTTTAGATATTATAAATTCCCGCATAAATTTCATAAATTACCGTATAAATTTCATAAATTACAGCATAAATTTCCTGCAATAATTTTTAAATCTTAAATTTTGTTTGTATTACAATTATAAATTACCTCAAAAATTTCATAAATTACCGCATAAATTTCCAAAGATTACCACATAAATTTTCTGCAATAGTTTTTGAATCTTCAATTTTTGTTTGTATTATAATTATAAATTACCTCAAAATTTCATAAATTACCTCATAAATTTCCATAAATTGCCAAATAAATTTCCATAAATTACTTCATAAATTTCCATAAATTACCAAATAAATTTTCTGCATTATATATTTTTTTTAATCTTGAATTTTGTTTGTATTATTATTATAACACTATGTATAAAGATTTGTATCCAGCGCAATTGCGGACGGATGAAAAAGACTCAGATGAGAGTCTTTCCGAAAAAACATTATAAAATTAATATGGATTCAGATAAACATAAAAAAATATATATGGTTCGAAAGGTAATTAAAAAAGCTATCAGATCATGTGAATATCAAGTTTCTAAATTTAAATATCAGGGCTGGGTAATCGTATCAATAAACTGAGAAGAGTCCTGCCGGCAGGACCGGGCGTCGACGATCTAGTACTAAACATTAGGTCAGTTTTACAAAAATTTAACTTCTTTAAGTTGCCTAGCCTTGGGGTTTGAATTTAGAAATTTAATTTTTACATGCGCTGAAAGCTTGTATCTTTACCTTTCCAACCATATATATTTTTTTGTGTTTATCTCAATCCAAGTTAATTTTAGAAAGCGATTTCGGAGGGACTCACCTGAGTCTTT